ATAGATGAAGAGACCGAGGGTCAGAGAGGAAGTGACCTGCCAAGTTTATGCAGCAAGACTCTGGATCACTGACTTACTTGATTCTTTCTCCGGGTCCACATGAATCAGAAGATCATATGGCAGGGCCTCCTCTGCTAAGGTCAGAGTGAGGCCATGGAAAAGGAAGGCGATAAGATGGTGACAGAGGTTTAAGGTAAATCCCTAGACGTATAGGTGCTCATGCAGGTTGTGGAAGATAACTAGGCTTTGGGGAGATGGCCCAGACCTTATATCAAGGCCAGCCTTTCCTTAGGTTTTTTTTTTTTTTTTAAGCCAGCTTCTTGGTTTTCTCCTCCAAAACCAGCTGCAGGGATCCATGCAACGAGGCCTCCGTGTTTCTGAACTTACTGTGATCTAAAACAGGGATTCAGGGACTTCCCTGGTGGTGCAGTAGCTAAGACTTGTGCTCTCAATGCAGGGGGCCCAGGTTCAATCTCTGGACAGGGAACTAGATCCCAGATGCCACAGCCAAGACCTGGCATAAGCCAAATAAATAGGAGAAGGGGATGACAGAGGATGAGATGGTTGGATGGCATCATCGACTCAATGGACATGAGTTTGGGTGGGCTCCAGGAGTTGGTGTTGGACAGGGAGGCCTGGAGTGCTGCAGCTCGTGGGGTCACAAAGAGTCAGACACGACTGAGTGACTGAACTGAACTGAACTAATGAAATACACAGGAATCAGCTGTTGGAGAAACCACATTGGTCCAAGGTGCTGTCCTTGTAAGATTCAGGGAGTGTTGTGTCCCCCGGGTTGCCGGGGGTCTGGGACAGCAGCCCACATTCAGCAACAGTAACACCTGGCCGCTCAGAACCTTCTGGCTCATGGATTTTGCCCCCAGAGTTGAGGCCCAGTGCCCTATATGGCCCTGGTACATAGTAGGTATTCAGGAAGCGCTAGTTGAGTGAGTACTCTTGACATCTGTTGTCAGAGTGATTATTCACAGGGTAACATCTAGGCAAAGGGCCAACCGTCCTGTCAGTGAGGAAGGGTTGGTTTTGTCTTCCATCCCCTTCAGGTGCTTGCGATGCAGTTTTCCTACCCTTGACAAAGACAAAGTGGAATCTGAGTGGCTGGGGCAGTTAAGACCTTTTCACAGAGTTGTAGTGAGTCGGTGTTAAGAATCTATTTCTGACTTTTAGGGTTTAGATTACTCTCTGGAAGTATGAAAACAAACAAGTTTGCAAGATAAAAATCAATAACACAAAAATAGCTCTTCATAGAGGACTTTCTCAGGATGTCACTAAATTTGTGCCTGTAAAGGTCTGCGGTTGGAAGGATAGAAGAGAAATGTCTAAATATACCAGACGAAGATGAAGGAAATAGAAGATAGAGCAGAGGAAGCGGGTTAAAAAACAAAACCAAACACCAGTCGTCTCACTTGGGTATGCTGCAGGAAACCTACTTCAGGACCAAGCAGGCAGAATTTTATTCTCTCCATGGAAATGAACTAAGGAGCATTTTTCAGTGTCTGAGAAGGCAATGAGAAAAGAGAGGTTTGGTCATTTTTGTCTTTATTTTTACTGAGGTAGACAGAGGTGATTGGAAAGAGCTTCTTAGAGCTTTGCTCTGGTGTGAGAGCTTTGGGAAGTCATGTTTTTGGGAAACCTATTCAGGTGGGTCACAATTTCTCCACCTTTATGGATCATGGAACCTTTACTGATCCTGCAAGACCGCTCTGAAATGTCTCTTCCCCTTGGAAGACTTCCATGATTTGTCCCCCACTTCACTGTCATTATTGTAATAACTCAGTATCTTATGTATATACTTTACTTATGGTGTCTATCATATTACAGAGGTTATTTTTACACAACTAACACCAGATCCTCTCTTTGAAGGCAGGGTTGCGTCTTATGCTCTGTACATCCTGAATCTAGCAGATTGCCTGACCCTTAGTAGGTGTTCAATAAACCCTGTGGAATCAATGGAGTGACTCCCAGCCTCATTCTCTCCTAAATGCCTTTTTAGAACAGCTTCATGTGAAGTCCCAAGAGGTTAAAGAAGGTTAACAGATGCTCAATAAATCTGAACATTGTCGTTTGCTGCTCTGAAACTGAGATCTGTGTAAAACACTAGTGCTAGTTTTTTTAAATGTCAGTTTTATCTTCTTTTTGCGTCTGTTTCCTTTAGTCCTTTCCTTTACTCTTTTACACTTAAAAAAATAAAAAATAAAGTATAAACATTGTGGTGGAGCTCCAATGCCTCCTCTTCCATGCAGCCCTCCCTGCCTGCCACCAGGCCAGAGATTCTCCTATCTTTTTTGCCCCCACACTGTTTGTACCACAACATAGGCCCTGTTGACTAATACCTATTGTGACATTCCCACTCCAAACCCAATCTGTGTGAGTGGCTTCATAGCTTCATCTTGTTCTCAGTGGTTTCTCCTACTTTGGATATTCCTCTAATTTAGAAATAGGGCTGGATGTTTTGCACGAGGCTAGATGTGCAGACAAGGCTCCAGCTGGGGAAAGCTGGCTCTAGCCAGATGAAGCAGACTCTTATGTCTCTGGTAACAGGCGTAATGATAGCCACTTTGCTAATTTAGAGAGGTTCAGAAATCTAAATGGATAAGAGCTATGACAACCCATTGCAAATTAATGCAATGAAACCATGTTACTCCTGTTACTTCTATGACATGGGAATCCAGGTTTCCAGCAGGCTTTTCTAAATGTCAGCTAGCCACTCGCACCCTCCCCCTGTAGATTTCTCTCGCTCTCTTCGGGGATTTTTAGGTGTCGGTTCTGTCTTGACCTGGAGGTGCACACCAGACCGCGATTCCAGGTGTCTCGCTTTGCTGGAGGTCATTTCCAAAGAACAGCTGAAGCCCGAGAAAGACGGTTTCTTCCCTTCATGTCTAATTTTGTTCTCTTCGCCTGAAATGACTTCTTGTTTCCAAAATCTCAGGCAAGTGAGAAGTCCCTATAAGTCAAAGGCCAAGGGTCCCTGACCGCTGTGTTATGTGTAAGACTGTCACCTCAAGGGGCAGCTGGAGGAGGTGTGTGTGGAGGAGTGAGAGTCTGTTTTATTTTTGCCAACGTCCTAAGCTTATTTACACTTCAACAGAAAAAAATTTTTCTTCTTTTTGTGAAAATGCAAATACTGGACTTCTTACTGACTTTTATGAACTCAAAATACCTTCAAATTCCACAGCCTGTAAAGTGCAAAAGTGGGATAAGTCCCAAGGAATGTATATTGAAAAATACATTTATTCATTTTATTTTTAAAAATTATTATTATTACATTAAAAAAAAATCTGGCCATGCCAGGCAGCGTGTGGTTAGTTCCCTGGCCAAGGATTGAACTCATGACTCCTGCCTCAGAAGCTTGGAGTCTTAACCACTGGGCAGCCAGGGAAGTCCCTATTTATTTAAATTGTATTTTTATACCTACATTCCCAGCTTATTATTTTCTCCTGAACATTTTTATTTACAAGTAAAATAATATGCAGATCTATTTCATAATATGCTAACATTTCTACCAAGCAAAGAATCAGAGAACTAGAAACTAGCAAAATTTATACTTATTACCCAAATCTGACCAAAAACTTTGAGTGGATGAAATCTGATGACCCCAGATGAGGTCCAGAAAATCTCCTTAGAGTGTTTTATCCTTTTTTTTTTTCCATTTATTTTTATTAGTTGGAGGCTATTTACTTTACAACATTGCAGTGGTTTTTGTCATATATTGAAATGAATTAGCCATGGATTTACATGTATTCCCCATCCCGGTCCCCCCTCCCACCTCCTTCTCCACCCGATCCCTCTGGGTCTTCCCAGTGCACCAGGCCCGAGCACTTGTCTCATGCATCCAACCTGGGCTGGTGATCTGTTTCACCCTAGATATACATGTTTCGATGCTGTTCTCTTGAAACATCCCACCCTCGCCTTCTCCCACAGAGTCCACAAGTCTGTTCTATACATCTGAGTCTCTTTTTCTGTTTTGCATATAGGGTTATCGTTACCATCTTTCTAAATTCCATATATATGTGTTAGTATACTGTAATGGTCTTTATCTTTCTGGCTTTGTTTTATCCTTTTATTTAACTTTTATTGTTCCTTATAAACCATTAGCAGAAAGACCTGAATGAGTGTGCTCCAAACTGGAACAGATAACTAACTCATTTCAACATAAACAAGTGAAGAATGTTATGTACATGTGTTAAAATTAAATGAGATAGCTAACATATCTAGATTTTAAATCTCTGGGAGAGTAGGTAATATCTGGACTTCTGGTAAAAAAGAAAAAAAAAAGTAATTGCTAACAAAACCAAAAAGTAAGCAGTTAAATCAACCTTTTCATTTCCTGCCAAAGAAGTACCAATATTTTCTCCTTTACATGACATAGGTATTACTTGAAGGGTAACTGTTTCCTGGCAACTCTAGAATGAGCAGGAGGCAGGCTGTGGTCAGGCTGAGCGCTGAACATCATTCCCTTGCTTTTGTGGATTCAGTGTCTTGACCTGGGCTTCTGACCTCGTTCTGAAGTTGATAGTGGGGGGGGGCCTCTGTCATCCCATTTTCTCTTTCTAGAGGACAGCATTAGGGGAAGGGCAACACCCTAGGGAGGACCAGGGGGAGGAAAGGGAATTACTGTCCCTGATTTTCTTATCCGGTTGTCTTAGATTCAGTGGGGTAAATTGCACTCTGGAACTTGCCCCCCTTTTCTCAAGTAGCCCAGGGACTGGTGCCTGGGCCTCAGAGTCAGGGTCACCTGCCCACCCACCCGCTCGGTGACCCCCCTCCAGGAGCAAGAAGACAGCGCCTACGAGCTTCCAGACTGACCTCCGACTTGCATGGAAGAAAATTTTAAAAAGAAGAAACCCTTCCCCCAACACTCCCAAATGTCTCCCTGAATAACTCAATGCACTCTTTAAAATAATTATTTTCCCATGGGAACCTTTCTCAGTGGAAAAGAACGGTGACAATTAGACAGGAGGTACAGTCCTTGGACTGACAGTTACCTGTTTGAGCCACACGTTTGTTGTCATCAGCTGATTCTTTTCATCCTAAGGAAAGGAAAATTAAATTCAAATTAAGTGAAACTGTGTATTGGATTTTTTTTTTTTTTTTTTGGTCATAGAGACTTCTTGAAATCTTACCTTTGAGCCGTCCAAAGTTGGAAGGATTCTCAACTTAAGAACAGTTAAATGGCATTGAGTGAGTGTTAGTCACTCAGTTATGTCTGACTCTTTGCAACCACTGGACTGTAGCCTGCCAGGCTCCTCTGTCCATGGGATATCCCAGCCAAGGATACTGGAGTGGGTTCCCATTCCCTTCTCCAGGGAATCTTACCACCCAGGGATTGAACCTGGGTCTCCTGCATTACAAGGCAGATTCTTTACTGCCTGAGCCGCCAGGGAAGCCCAATGGCATTGGGACCCTACAATATTAGGCTTATTTTGTTTAAAATGAAAATAATAATGAGAGCAAGTAGCAGTTCCTTGTGGTGATATTTGTATAAATTGCATAACCAAAGGTGCAGGAAGGGTGTGAAGCAGAATGAAATACTAGCTGAATGGGAGATGGGGTTTGTATGATTTTCCAGAAGGAATCTTGGGCTTTGAGTCAGTTCAGGGGAGGGGGTGATGATGAGTGGATATGGCCAATGGGGGAAGATTGTTCTGGGACTCTGGGGACTGCAGTAGCATGATTTTGCAAAATTTGGGTTATCAAAGTTCACGGATTTCCCCAGGAACCTCATGGCAGAAGTGTGAATCCAATAGGAAAATTAAGGTACAGGGGTGTGTCAGGGAAAGGGCTGGGGTCCCCAAGGGGTCCAGGAGGGAATGGGGTCACCCAGGGACTGTCTCCGGGGCTGTCACTGCGGCTCTCTCTGCTCCAACCCCTGCCCACCCTGGCTTGGCCCAGAGGACACCGAGGCAGCCCCGGGCTCAGCCCAGCCTGCTCTTCACCTTGGCAGCTCCAGTAAACCCATCAGAGAGATGCCCTCCTAACCGCGGCCCACCTCCTTTCAGCAAGAAGTCCCCCTTCCCCTACAACAGTGTTGCCATGAAAATAACATTCTCTCCTCGGGTCATTTCACTGGCTTCTCAGGGCAGGTTTTCTCTCACGCTGAGTTATTTTTAAGACTGAAATGGCAGACAGAGGGAAAGAAAACAAAATCAAATCTTAGCCTCGACAACGGGTGAAGGAATGCATGTCCTTTTCAGCTGAGGGCCAGGGATTACTCACCACATCCACGAGCTGAGAGATTTTCAATCCAAAGTAGACTTTTATGGTGTCGTTGGAGTGTAAGACGGGGCGAACCCATTTCTGGTAACCTTGGAATAAGTGTCTGAGCAGCGCATCTTCTTCTTCGGCTATGGACCTGAATCCTGCAGCGGCTGGACGAACAGGAGGGGACCCGAATTAACCGGGGAGGCGGGACAGCTGACCCCACATCCCCCAGCTGGACCGTCCTGTGTTTCTAGACAGCCTGATTCAGTAAGGCAAGGCCAAGGCTACTGGGCTTCTCGGCCTACATTCTCCTATTCCACCTCAGCTCCCTCCCCAACCACACGTAAATACTCTCCTTCTGTTTCTTTAATGTGGTCCCTGTCTGAGACCGTGGATGTTCATCAGCCATCCTGTGGTCATCCTTCTGTGATGGACGTTAAGTTGAATCAATATGCTGGACGTCCTAAATTTACACAAGGCTATATGTTAATTACATCTCAATAAAACTGGAAGAAAAAAATAAATAAAAGTAGGCTCTATACTTTTCCCTGGGGGAGAGCATGGCAACCTACTCCAGTATTCTTGCCTGGAGAATCCCCACGGACAGGGGAGCCTGGTGGGCTACCGTCTATAGGGTTGCAAAGAGTCAGGCACGACTGAAGCGACTTAGCATGCATGCAGACTCTGTAGTTTACCCAGAGCTTTACTTTCTCATAGGACTTTCCCATCATGAGGTCATCACCTTGACCCCCAAAGGATCACCCACATTGCCCCCCTTGTCCTCCACAGCTGTCTCTGCCTGCATGCACTGCCCACCGCCGTGCCTGGCCTGGCCTCTCCATGTCCCTTTCACAATCTGTCTATATTTGTCTTTGTCTGTCCTGCCCTTGGGGTCCACGAGGGCAGGCACACTCCACGTTGTTTGATGGTGTTCATCCAGCACATAGCACGGTGCTCGGCCACACCAGGAGCTCACCGTGTATCTACGTAATGAATGAGCCAAGGGAGGGAGTGGCCAGGGCCATTTCCCATGCCTCCAGCCTGTGGTCATAGAACACCCGCCACCTGGCCTGTCTGCTCTGTCCCTTCCTCCTGCGCAAGACTTCCCTTGCAACAGCCAGCTTCTGACAACTCTTCTCTGCCCCTAAATGTTTGGAAGCCCTAATTTCAAGCTTTAACTCTCAAACTGAAGAAGTGGTTTAGGAATGTGGTCTCGAGGTCAGTTGTTTTTTTTTCTGTGCTATCCAATTTCAAACCAGGAAGATCTTCATTGTTCTATACATATTTTTTAATTTAAAAAAAATTTAAAACTTAGTTAATTATGGCTGCACCAGCATGTGCAGGTTCTTAGTCCCCTGACCTGGAATCAAACCTGTGCCCCGTGCATTAGAAGCTCAGAGTCTTAACCACTGGACCACCAGGGAAGCCCCTCCTTGTCGTTTTAACTAGGCCCCACCTTCCTCCATCCAGGATGCTCTTCAGTCCTAGAGTGACTTAATCCACACCCTCTGCTTTCCCACAGAAAACCTTCTCTTCCCACTGATGGATGCACATGTGATGGGCTGGGTCACATGCAAGACACACACCCACGTTTGACCAATGAAAACCGTGAGGTTCTTTGTGGGAAGAAAAGCAAAGTCGCACCATTCCCCACAGATGTGTGGGACCTCCACTTCACTGAGGAGTGATGATTCTCAGCATAGTTGGTAACCCCCTCCCGGGGTGAGCAGGGCATGGATAATGGGGCTGATGCTCTGGCTGCCGTGCCCTTTCTCTTCTGCACCAGAAAGCTGATGGAGATGCATCTGAGTGGTAGAGGGGCAACCTTATATTTGCACTTAATAACTCAAACAGCTGGGCTTTCCTGATGGCTCAGCCTTAAAAAAAATCCACCTGCAATGCAGGAGATGTGGATTTGATCCCTGGGTCAGGAAAGATCCCCTGGAGAAGGAAATGGCAATCTGCTCCAGTACTCTGGCCTGGGAAATCCCAAGGACTTAGGAGCCTGGTGGGCTGAAGCCCATGGGTTTGCAAAGAGTCAGACACAGCTGAGCACACCCACAGACACTCAAAGGGCTAACCAGGCTTAAACTTGGATACTTCATCTATTCTTAGCCAGCATGACTGCACTGAAAAGCGGGTCAGTGGGTGGCGGCCAGGACAGCCCTCCGTACAGGCCCTAAAACGTTCCGGGAAATGTGGGCAGGGGGAGGAATAGAGAATAAAAACTTCCTGAAGCCTTCTGGGAGAGCAGGCTGCCCTTCACGAATTCCCTACCAGACATCCGGGCTTAGCTTCCTTCCAAATAGCAGGCAGCTCTGACGGCTCCCAGCTCCTCTGTGGGTGCCGCCCTGACCTCAGACCCCATCACCTCCCCCGTGGATCCGTGTGCTGCCTGCTAATTGCCGCACTCACCCCTTCACAGTCCTTTTTCCACCCAGCAGCTAGATCATCGCTTAAAAGCCAGGGAGGATTATGTCAGCTTCCTGCTCAAACCCTCCCCATGGTTTCCCATCAAACTTGGGGAAAAACAGCCCAGTTCTTACCATGGCCTCCCAGGCCGTACAGGGCGCCTACCCACTCCCATCCCGGCCTCACCCCTCATCCCCAGGGCCTCGGACACACCACACACATACTACACACACATACTACACACACACATCACATACACACCGCAAACACACTGCACACCACACACACACACACACACCACACACAGCACACACACCACACACACACACACCACACACACCACACACCCACACACACATCACACACACACCACACACACACCATACACAGCACACACAGCACACACACAGCACACACAAACCCACCACACACCCACACACACATCACACACATACCACACACCACACACACCATACACAGCACACCCACCACACACACACCCACCACACACACACATACACAGCACACACAGCACACACACACCACACACCACACACACCATACACAGCACACACAGCACACACACACACACTACACACACACATACACAGCACACACAGCACACACACACCACACACACCCACCACACACCCACACACACATCACACACACACCACACACCACACACACCATACACAGCACACACACACCACACACACATACACAGCACACACAGCACACACACAGCACACACCACACACAGCACACACACACCCACCACACACACACATACACAGCACACACAGCACACACACACCACACACACCCACCACACACCCACACACCCATCACACACACACCACACACACCATACACAGCACACACAGCACACACACACCACACACACCCACACACACATCACACACACATCACACACCACACACACCATACACAGCACACACAGCACACACACACCCACCACAAACCCACACCACACACATCACACACACACCACACACCATACACACACCATACACAGCACACACAGCACACACACACAGCACACACCCACACACACATCACACACACCACACACCATACACACACCATACACAGCACACACAGCACACACACACCACACACACACACACCACACACACATCACACACACAACACACACCATACACAGCACACACAGCACACACAGAGCACACACATACCACACATACTACACTCACACCACACACCATATACACCACACACATACTACACACACACCACACACACATCACACACACACCACACACACCATACACAGCACACACAGCACACACACACCACACACACCCACACACACATCACACACACATCACACACCACACACACCATACACAGCACACACAGCACACACACAGCACACACCACACACAGCACACACACACCCACCACACACACACATACACAGCACACACAGCACACACACACCACACACACCCACCACACACCCACACACCCATCACACACACACCACACACACCATACACAGCACACACAGCACACACACACCACACACACCCACACACACATCACACACACATCACACACCACACACACCATACACAGCACACACAGCACACACACACCCACCACAAACCCACACCACACACATCACACACACACCACACACCATACACACACCATACACAGCACACACAGCACACACACACAGCACACACCCACACACACATCACACACACCACACACCATACACACACCATACACAGCACACACAGCACACACACACCACACACACACACACCACACACACATCACACACACAACACACACCATACACAGCACACACAGCACACACAGAGCACACACATACCACACATACTACACTCACACCACACACCATATACACCACACACATACTACACACACACCACACACACATCACACACACACCACACACACCATACACAGCACACACAGCACACACACACCACACACACCCACACACACATCACACACACATCACACACCACACACACCATACACAGCACACACAGCACACACACACCCACCACAAACCCACACCACACACATCACACACACACCACACACCATACACACACCATACACAGCACACACAGCACACACACACACCACACACCCACACACACATCACACACACACCACACACCATACACACACCATACACAGCACACACAGCACACACACACCACACACACACATACCACACACACATCACACACACAACACACACCATACACAGCACACACAGCACACACAGAGCACATACATACCACACATACTACACTCACACCACACACCATATACACCACACACATACTACACACACACCACACATACACACCACACACCACACACACATCATATACACACCACACATACACTATACTCACACCACACCCACCACACACAACACACACCAGACACACACCGCACACACAACACATATACACACCACACATACCACACACACACCAGGCACCATACCCACCACAAACACTACACACAACACACACACAACACACCCACCACACACACAAACATGCACCACTCATGCATACCGTATGGGCTTCTTCGCTGGAATGGTCTTACACCATCACGATTTTGGACGTGTGAGAAGCATCTTAAGAAGAGCAGAGACTGGGTTGTGGAACTTCCTTCCTGGCAGGATAACCTCACTGTCGGTTTGCAGGCAGTG